TATATATATATATATATATATATATATGTCTTTATTTGTATCAGTATAATGATGTTTACCTTTGTGCTTCTTTCTTGACAGTTTCAAAGTATATTGTTTTGGTTGAAAATAAATACAATTTCATGCCAAAGTCTAGCAGAAGTGCATTATTAACATTTACTCGAAAAATGTCTTTACGTGAATCATCACCTTGTGTGACTGAATGGTTCCAAGTGAATAATAAATGAATAAATCAAGGTTTATAGAACCATTACATTCAATCTTTCTCTCTTTCTCTCAAACACACACACTGACACCATCATACAGTAAATCTTCTCTTCAATGGGTATATAAACAGCTACATTGTGAGCCACAAGACATACTGTTGTGAAAGCTTTGCTCAAACATAGACTGTATAAAAAGTGCAAATAAGTCAAAACAATAGCGAACCTACTATATACTAACTTCATTGCAACAGCGTTTCAGCTTGTGGCCTTTGTCAGGTAATGATGATATGTTAGTATCAGAAATATCTATGTACTGCATGCTATTGACTGCCCATAATATCAGGAGTAGTAAATGAGTGGACAAGGGAGTGATTTCTGACATCGTATCTGCAGTATGAGGCTCAGGTTTATGACATCTCTAAGACACAAGCTGCCGTAAATCACAGCAGGGGGATGAGGAGAGGAAGAGGGATGATGCAGGAAACTGCGTGACAGAAGGAATCAGAGTAAACAAGCTATCCTGTAAAGAATAGTAAATGTCGAGCTCACAGTAAATAACATTTTAGGTCAGGTTTTTATGAGCAGGAGTCACAATGTACAATGTTTATGGGAAATAATTACTTTGGAGAAAATGTGCAGCCCACAAGTTATATCCCCTGTAATACAGTTACAAGCCAACAAGACGAAACAAGGCAGTGTGGGTTTATGGGTGCAGCAGCTACAGTCGGCCTGGCATATGGGGCCTGTTAATATATTATCATTACAGAAGGTATGTCACTCTGCTCTTAAAAAGTGGACTGGGGCCAATTTGTTTAGCTTGTTATGCAAATAGGTAGTGAGAATAGATATTTTGGTCACACTTTATTTCAAGGTACACAAATTAACCATCAACTAGTTGTTAATTAACATGCATAATAGCAGTATATTGGCTCTTTATTAGTCATTATAAAACACCTATTAATACCTTATTCTACATTCTACAAGTAATAGGCCATTAGTTGAGAGTTTTTCCTCAATAACCCTCTAATTAGTGCTTATTTTGTACATGAGTTTTGGTCTTAATATGCTCTGCTCAATATGGGCCTAATAAGGCAGTAGTACCACAAGAATAGTAATTCTCCCATAATAACACTTAACAAATATGATCTATTCTTATGTAATAAGACATGAAACCATACTGTACTGTAAGTGTTAATTAAGTCTAAATAACTCAAAATTAGGTATTTCTATCTAAGAATATGTTCCCTATTTTAAAGTGAAGTCTTGTTCCATAACCAATAAGCTAGTAGTTTGACTCTAATTGACCTGAACAGGTTCCCTATTCTAAAGTTGCCTCCTCTTCACACTTTGTAAATACACTATAGCACACAACTACTGAAATTAACAGCACATGAACAAAGTAGGCACACGTTGAAATATCTGTTTTATTAATGAACAACTAAAGAGAGGTTCAGACACATACACTACCAAAACATGTCAAGTTTCTCCAAGGCTGAGAACACATATGCAGCCTGTACTTTTTTAATAAAAACAGATTTTTATTAAGTATTTGTGATCATACTGTGTGACCTGCTTGTATGTACTTACACACTAGGTGTACTGTTCGTTCTATGTGTTGTACTGTCTCTTTTGCCCCTTTCACACCAAGGCTTTTCCCGTTCTAGCTCCGTGCTAGAGCTTTTCTGGTTCAGAACCGGTTCTTCGATTCAGCTCCCGCTTTGTTCAGGCCGCTCAGAGCCCGACTGGTGGATAGCCTTCTATCTATATGGTGCCGGTTTCCCTGCGACTAGTCCCTCCCACCAGGGAAGCATGGAGAGACGCAAGGAAACCTTGAGCAGCAGGGAAATGAGTTTTAAGAGCAATGGGACGTCCTTTCCTCCGGAGCGTCACGTGAAGCGACGTCCGTTTGTGATGACGTCGCACAGCTGATCGTCTGACAGCAGCTCTGTCCCCGTTATTTTCACAAACACCCCCGCCACACATTTACTGACACAAACATTTGTATCATCTGTTGTAGACCCAAACAAATCAAATAAGAACTCATTTTCAAAAAAGATAAACGCCATTCTTAAAATGTATAAACGAACAATAGTTTGATTAATATTGATTAGAGTGCACAAAATAAATAAAATAATTCAGAGAAGAAAAAGAGATATGTTATCTGTGTGGTGGCAGAACTGGAGGGAGTTATAACTAATCTCACGTGTTTTTAGTTTAGTTTTATAAGTGCGTCTTCGTTGTTGCTGTAGTGGACAGATTGGTAGATAGTTGGGTTGGGTCAATGCTATTGTGAAGTAACCTAACGTGTGAAAGTTCTGGGTCGTAGAAGGCGACCCGTGCTTGGTCTCCCAAACACACGGGACCTAGTCTTGACGCCCCGAGTCACAGTGACAGACCTTGGAACACCAAGTGACCAGTCCTGGGGCAGAGGGTACCGTTTAACCAGAGTCCGTTCCCCGTTCTAACCAAAGTTTTCTGCGAGCGGTCTGCTCGTAGGAAGAGCCCGGACCGAGGTCTTTCCGCCTTGGGGCCCGAAGGAGGCCCGGCCCATAGGAGTGAAGCACAACAGCAGAAAGTACTCCAGAAAAATTCTTGGTTAGAACGGGAACGGACTCTGGTTAACGTACCCTGCTGGGATGGTCCCTTGTGTTCAAGGTGCTGTTGTGTCGGGGGTCCAAGTAGTCCGTGTGTTATTGGAGACGATTGGTGCTTTCCACACGACCAAGAACAGTCTCCTCCACACGTTAGGTTCACTACTACAATGTAGAATTGACNCTGACGGACTTGACCCTTTAACTATTCAGGTTGCATAGGGGAAATTAGTAGTACTCTACTGCCATGCTATTCAGTTCACTTTCTCCTACTTCCTGTAGGCCTACCCGGTTTCCTGTCTGACCTTCAGTACACATTTTACAAAAATATAAATGTGCAAATATGAAACATACAGGTCAATATCACCTTGCTATTGGTAGCTGAACTGTCAATACCCCAAAACATATTCTTAGATTGAAATACCAATTTTTTTGTTATTTAGAAACAAGTAACCCTTCTAGTTTCACATCTTGTTACATAAGAATAGATCATATTTGTTAAGTGTTATTATGGGAGGATTACTCTTCTTGTGGTACTACTGCCTTATTAGGTCCATATTGAGCAGAGCATATTAAGACCAAAACTCATGTACAACAACTTCCTTACTTGCAACAGATAAGCACTAATTAGAGGTTTATTGAG